CAGATGTCAGGTCTCGTGAAAAATGAGTTTATCGAGGCTGCTGATTTATTCAAAGAAAGCAATGTTTGTCGTCTCAGATAGTGTTGAGGACTTTAATTGGAGAAATTCATGTGTGAACAATTTTACAAAACATGCTGTGTATTCAGTTTCAGTAATATTTTTACATCCTAGGAATTATATGTTCCAATTCCAGGATTCATTGTGTTTTTGTGAATAATACATTTTCTTCCCCATGAAAATGCTGGACTACGGGACACATGTGAGACTCTTTTGAGAGTTCCTTTTAATGAAGTGAATAATGTGAGGTAAGATAAGAAAATCCTTATTCCTTATATACTAAATTCATTCTCACAGAAGCATCTCTGCAACTCAAACCTGATCCTGCATCATGTAACTTGTTAGACGCTTTTATCCAAAGCGACTTACATACTCAATACTATGGGCAATCCCCACAGGAGCAATTTGGGGTGAAGTGTCTTGCCCAGGGACACAACGACATGCTGACTGCAGTGGGGTTTGAACCTGTGCTCCCCTGATCCCAACACCAAGGCTCTATCCACTGTGCCACACGCCTCCCTTCATGTTTACACCTCACATCCAATGGATCAGAAACACCTTTATTAAGAATCAACTTGAACCTTTCAAATAGAAAAAGGAAGTCGTTCTCTCTCTCTGCATAACTCTACCATCTTCCCTTATCCTCTAACATGTCAACCAGCTACTCCTTCAAATGCCAATTCTGCTCCCAGTTTCTCCCATATGTCAACCTCTTCTACTCCAAGAGTGGTCAGCTGTGCATGCCAGAGCACTTGTAAAATGTTGTCTGGCCAGACAGAACTCCAGACTGTTTTCAAGCATCTACACATAAGCCAGTGTATTAATATTCTGCTGCCACCAAACGCTTGGCTGTTCTTTCCCTGCGCTGACCAGGTCATCACTTCAGACAGATCTGACTACTGCAGACTTCTGGCAACTTTACTGAGAAACAATTCCATGCAGAACAGATCATTCATTCCTTGCCTTCTGTGAGAGAAAACGAATTGTTCTATATCTTATCACAAGTACGCCTTCTGACAGAATGTATTTTCCTTCTTTACTATGGCTAACTCTCTAATAAAAAAAGTGTTTTTCCTGGCACTCACTCGGTTTGTAAACGTTAAATTTAGTGGTTTGTTAAATTCACTCTAATACAACGGGCAAATATTATTCCCAACCAAGTTATATCACCAAGGATACAATCAAATCTGATTATGACGCAAAACAATTCAGCCAACTGCAGCCTCCAAAATGTTCAAACAGTTTAATGAACGGCTAACTAAACAGTGGAATAAAGACTGCACATTAAAACCTTAAGGCAGGACGGTTGGACTGCATTAGTGTGACCTCGCTGTATCTAATAAACTGGCAACTGCAAGTTTTGTACAGTTCCTTTACTTAGGTATGTATTTCACACAGCTCACCTTATATTAGTGGCTTCATTTTTATTTTTTATTTATTTATATATTCGTCATTTATTTGTTTAAGCAAAAACTCTTTCCAAGGTTGCTGTTTTTCTGTATAAGTGTTCTTCCAGGGAGTTTTTCTTTACCAGATGGTTTGAGGATGGTGGGAGTCATATGCTATATATATTTTCAAGCCCCTTGAACAACATTTTGATTTTAGGTATTCTAGTGTTTGATGTATATTTTGACTTTACCATTCCATGTAAACAGAACATATGCATTTTTTGTAACTGCTGTTGGAGCTATCTTATAAATTAATTATCTGGTAGAGGGTTAGTAAGTAATATATGTATTCAGCCCAATATCCAATAACCTTGGAATCTCTTCTCAGAAGACTGCATACGCTGATCACATTTCATCAGCAGTGCTGCAAATAAGAGAAAAATAAAGGCTTTTTTTAAATGCTAAAAATGACATCTATGAAATGTATACAAGTTGATGGTTAGGAGCTGACTTTGTGTTACTTCACATGTAATACCATAGTTTGTACACTAGGGAGCATAACAGAACATGTCTGGACCAGAGCCCTCACAAATTGAGTGCACACAATACAAAATCATTTAAATGTATTGACACTGTATTCTCCAATATTCTATTTTGTTATATTGTTTTTTTGTGTTTATTCCGATGCTTCACATTCCCAGTCTAATTCAGTTTTTTAATCAGCAACTTTATAATGGCAGAGACTATTTATTTAATTAGTAAGTTCATGATGAATTAGCAGTTTCCCCGGAACTAAGGCATACATCAGAACATTTGCATTGTGTGTCAATTTTATTGCAGAGTCCTGCACAATGTATAGTCCCTGTGCTGCCTCATCTTTGCCCATTTTTCTTTCCTCTCTCTCTCTCTTTGTCCATACTGTCGAAATATGCAAGTCTTAGCACCCCCACTCTCTCCGCTGTCTTGTCACACACACAGTAACACAATGACACACACCATGACCACCGCAACTCTCCACGGGAGAGTTCTGTCATGCTCTGTAGATTGGGTGTCCCAGGGTGATTAACTATTGATATGGAGCTCAGGTAACGCACCTGATATCTGGGTACAGGGAGAAAGGGAGGGAGGGGGAGAAAGGGAAAGGGGCGGTACAGAGGGGGAGGGGGAGGTGAGAAAGAGGATGAGAATGATGCGGTAGAAAAGAGAGAGTGAAACAGAGAGAAATGTGGCATGTTGGCAAAGTGGGAAAGGGACACATGGTGAGAGAGATACAAAAAAGTGAACAGACAAAACACGAGTTAACTGTTGAATAAACTGCAATCCTACATACAGACCCTTTTGGAGGGAAGGGCGAAGTGGGCAATAGCCAACAGCAGAGTGGCATATTGTGATGAGTCAGGGCATAGCTGAGGAAATGAGATGCCGAGGGCAGTGCATGTATCGCAAGAGATTAACAGCATCAATGTGTGTGTGTGTGTGTGTGTGTGTGTGTGTGTGTGTGTGTGTGTGTGTGTGTGTGTGTGTGTGTGTGTGTGTGTGTGTGTGTGTGTGTGTGTGTGTGTGTTTTTGGAGAGCTGATGCAAAACAAATGGATCACTGTTGGAGAAGAAACATCCACTTGTCTCTAAGTACACACACCATGGCTATGCTCTCTAACCCTCACCCTCCAAAATGATGTACATTCCCTCCATTTGTTTTGTGTGTGTTTAACATGTAAACAGACCTACCTGTTTGTGTGACAGTCAGTGAAGTGTGACAGTGTGAAGTCCATTTGTCAGCATTATTACAAAGACCTCAATACCTAAATCCTTTATCTCTGCCTCTTTTCTGCCTGATAAGCATCTGTCCTCTCCTGACTTATTGGCTGCATGGAGAAAACTTTCCCTCCAGGTAAACTGTGACACAACAGCTTTCCTCCACTTCTACAGTTCAGGAGGGCGTATCATGCGTAATGTGCTGTATCGAATGAAAATAAATGAGTTGGTGGATCAATCAAGACTAAGCTATCTAAAACACAATCTTCAAAATCATAAGCTGGTACCCTATTTAATACTATACTAATGGCATTTTTGTCAACCTATATAAATGACACAATAGGATCATGCCCTGTTGCACATACAATGCAGAGAGGGGGGTTGGTTCATGATGTTGAAGGTGAACGCGATCATAAAGTGTGATCCCTCACCTCTGTTGCACACACACACACACACACACACACACACACACACACACACACACACACACACACACACACACACACACACACACACACACACACACACACACACACACACACTTATTACGTGGCTCAGCACACCAGATTGCTGTGGAGAGCTAATTATTTTGATGATTATAAAGATATATTACAAAGTGTTTTCACTGATATGGTGTATGCGGAATAGAGTGCTGAATTACAGCACCATCAGGAACACACACACACACACACACACACACACACACACACACACACACACACACACACACACACACACACACACACACACAGAGATCTGTGTATACAGTGAGATAGATTTATTTGTCTATAAAATAAAATATACTTATGCTTGGCTATATAGATAGTTTACATTGCATTAAAATGCAATCACTTTTCTTTAGCTAGGCTGTGAAAATTCCCTGTGTGGGTGGAGTGGTTAGAGCGTTTACCATTTACTTGAACATAAATCAATTTATTGACACCATGTACAACTGCGGAATTTAATATATTAAAAGTCATTGTCTACTATCTGATATAAAAATAATGGTTTATGGTTTATTAACCAAATAACAATAACTTTTAAATGATTAGAGCTGAAACAAGTATTCAAACTAAAAGTTAGTTTATGTTTTGATACATTTTTTAAGTCATTTATCAAACAAATATTGCATATATTCTCTGGTTCCTGTCTCCTATATTTTTTAGATATGTTGTTTTCTCAATTTTATATTATTGTTAAAGGATTGTCTTCATAGTGCGTTTTTTTTCGGTTTTACATAAATCTAAATATCTCTATGCTGCTTTAGGAAAAAATGATATCTTTGGATTGTGTTCCTTGGACCAATGAAGCAATTTAACAATCAATGAATGCAAAATACAATACATACTACAATTTACAAACCATTTAAAAATACCTTATTAGAAAAATTGTACATTGATAATACCTAGCCTGCCTAATACAACTACAGCACAGCTCACTAATAATTCAACATTTCACATAACAGTTCAAGTTTTATCTCGCCTTCAAAGGCAATATCTTTCTGTAATCGAATCACAACTGATCAATAATATATTTAATCTAACAAAAAGCCAGAGGAAAGAAAGCTGGCCCTGATGGTCTCCTTTATCAAAACTCACTAACCTATGGCCCATGAACTACATCATCCCAAGTGTTGAGAGTATCAACACAGACACAGTCACCTGTTTCTCAGTCACCTGTGTGGGCCGATACTCCCCACTCCACCCTCTTTGTGCCTCACTCCACCAACCACAGGTTTTCCCCTGCGCCTCTCCCTTCCTCGCCATCTTGAAACCGCGCTAGCCCCGCCCCTGAGAGAGGGACTGGGAGTCAAATGTTCCCTCTGCCCGTCTTCGATACCCAGGGACCCATTTTACTTAACTGCCATTTCCCCTCACATTTGACCTCTCTGAAACTTTAAATTGATATAACATCTTCCACAGTTTCACTCCTCCACATCTACTGGGCAACTTTCAAACCACAAGGTAAGGCCGACACAGGCGAGCACTTACAAAACAGGTGTATCGTAAATTCCGAGTTTTATTCGACAAAACTCCACTTTTGTCTTTACTTTTTTCCACGCTTATAGTTAAAACAAGTGTTCTGATATTGCTTAAGTTGACAGGTGTGAATGCACCGTATTGTTTGACTGCTTTTACTGTAGGATCAGGTGCGACGGTGAAAGCAGCCTGAGAAGCAGGTGCAGCCAGGTTGCTGTGTTGCGTTCAAGTGCTTTGCAAATTCTCCCTTACAATAATGCCGCCGTAGGCGATTACTGAATTGTCATGAAGTATTTGTAAACTCACCAGTAGATTGATTCTTGTATTCTTTTTTTCAGTAGCATCACAATGAAAGATGTACTTTTATTTAGCTATTCCAGTTTTACCTTAAAAGCATATTTTTTTGCTTGCTTTAGGTAATCAGGTCATCAGACTTCAGGATTTTATGTTGGACCCTGTTTAACTCCAGAAAAGCAAACACTGTCATAAAACACGGTCAGCCGGACAAGCTGTGTTGGCTTGACATTTTACGAGCTATTATCAGTTTTATTTGAGATATACAAATAGCATACGTCCCTTTATGGTGCAGTACTGTTCTTAGAAAGTAAGAGCTCGATCTGAAACCTCTTTACTGTATGGCCTGAAAACATTCAAAGCTTATTTGGCCTGAATGCAGTGGATATTTCCTGCCATAACTATGCCAAAACGATCACCTCATGATTGAACAATGTTGAATAAGTTGACATCCTCCATGAATACATTGTGGTATTGCTTGGATACTGTCTGGAGGTATGCCTTTACCCAGAGCCTGGTAATAAGTGAAACATAAATATATCAAGAGCAAGACAGGCTACTTTAGAAATGGTTAGATAAAGTATTAATAATATTACGGTTTTAATAATTGTAATGTCATAATAGGCTTAAAGTTATCCAAGGAATTACCATTGGTTAAATATATATGTTGTTTGACTACCTTTTAACTGTGCATCCTTGTTTGCAACCATATTTCACATTCATCAGTGCTTCTTTATTTGAAGTACATTATGTTAATGAGATACTGCTGATGGTTACTGGAAACCCTCTGCTTTCAATCTTGGCCTGTCAGACCTGTTCTTGTATGCCAATGGTTGGGGTTTGGTGGAGGTAGAATAACATTTTTAAACTAACAATCAGCAGTGGCATGTAAAGAAACATTACAGACATGAGGAAGGACACTGTTGGAAGGAATGACGTTTAATATGACATTACATGTCTGTCTGATCTTCAAAGTTACATTGAAAACAGCCTTGGACTGACTGAGGTAATATGGGCAGTTGGGTTTCTTATGCTGAATGCCTAGTAGGCTGGGATAATTACGTAGCTTGTATGTATAAGGAGTACACTTTACAGAGGATATTACATTCAGGCTTGTTTATATCCATGTATATCTTTTGTCAGATGCTGATGAAGCATACATGTATAAGGGCAAGCGGAGAGATCTTGTTACTATTATAAACAGGGCTGCACATAACTGGTGCGCAGGTACGCATGCGCACCCACCGCCAAAAAAGGAGGACCGGATCATTTGAAAAAAGCGCATTTGCGCACCAACATTGAGAGAGACAGAGAGACATGACAGAAGAGAGAGATAGAGAAGAGAGAGATATTTGCGAGTTGCATAAGAACTGGTAAGACGCGTGAAGGGTCTGCTTCATGCGAGGCACGGGCGCGCACCCCCCCACCCCCCTGTTGACATTTCGCGATACAGAGGGCTTCATACTCCACTAGCACCCCNATGTAGAATTTTTGACAATAAAGCAGACTTTGACTTTCACGCGCTTGCATATTTTAACAAAGCTTTTCATTTTAGCCACACTGAATTTAACTAGAAGTCATGGCTGTGTCAATTACCAGTCTGATATCGTTTTACAAAGATGACAAGAAGAGTGTAGATAGAGGAGAGAACCACTACAAGTCAGGACACGTAAAACAATGCAGCCTAGATGAAGGTGTGCTTACTGGTGTTGTCAGGGCTAGCATGAGGGACAAGGTTTATAGTGTCGGTGAGTAGTGATAGCAAGAGTACCGTTAACCTAGAGTTAATTTATTCACATTAATTCCCATTAACAAATCCATTTTATGTGTCAAATGAAATCTTTATTAGGCAAGGCAAGGCAAGGCAAGTTTATTTATATAGCACTTTTCAACACAAGGCAATTCAAAGTGCTTTACAAAAAATTAAAGACATTAAGAAAATAAAATAAACATTAAAAGAAAAAGACATGGATAAAAGTGCAGTCTAAGATATGAATAGTTCAATTAAAAGCAGAGACAAAAAGATAAGTCTTCAGCCTGGATTTAATAGTAGTCAGAGTTGCAGCGGACCTGCAGGTTTCTGGGAGTTTGTTCCAGATATTTGGAGCATAATAACTAAACGCTGCTTTACCATGTTTAGTCTACTGTTTTTTTCTCTAATTTGTTTCCAAAACAAAAAGCCTTACTATTCTAGTCTTGCCAGTTGGCCTCAGGGCCCACATTTGGATAACATTGCAGCAAACAAACCCAAGATCAGTGTAACATACTCAATTATATATATGAGGCATCATCATTTGCATGACTGCCTTGTGTTTGACTTAATATCAGTTCTTGGAAGTCATATCTCCCCTCTCAACGGGGTGCTTTGAGCTAATGGACCCCCACTGTGGAAACAGCAAGGGTGTTCCTCCCGCCGAGCTAAATCTAAAAAATGTTAGTCCAGATTATGGTATTGGAGAATGATAATCACTGTAAAATTACTTTCTTGTCTCACTCTCAATAGAGGAAAATAGCTTTCTGTTAAACAATTGTTTTTTTTTAACATCACATAATTGAAAGCTGCAATACAAGGCACTTCATTTGAGATGATAGCAGAAATATGGTGGGATTTTCTAATTATTTATGCCATCAAATGTTTGTTGAGGCCTTAACTGTAGTTTGTTTTGCACAATAAACTCTTCTGTGTGATGTCGTTTTAACAGATTCAGTTTATCTGTATAGTACCTGTTTGCATAATCATATAAAATAATGTATTTGATGTTCAAGGCAATGTCTTGTGTAACATTGTTATATGGTCCACATTTATTGTTTACTGGTAATAATAATCAAGTCTAAATGGGTAATTGTGATCAAATCATCACAATATGACAGTATTGTAACATAACATTAATGTAGCTGTAGAAAATAATTCTTATTTCACTATACCGTAGGCTACGTAGCTCCAGCTCTTATCTGTTTACTATAAAATATTATGCCTTCATAAAAAGCATTCTTTACAAAATGTTGAATGCGTTTCCCTCCTTTTGAACTTTTGTGCCTTATTCATCTCGTTGGTGTCATTTTCTATTCTTTAAATCTCTTAATCAGATAATTTCCTCGGCCCTCCCTGTGCGCAGGGTAACCAGACTCCATTGTTAGTAATTTAAGTCATGACGCATCGCAGTCCTCCGTAGACAGTGGCTGGTTTCTATAGTTACCATCAACAGTCTGGGCTGAGAAGTGTTAGTAACGTTATCTTCAGGACAATGCTAAACAAAATGGTGGCCACCTTAAATGCTTTTCCTACCAGGCCGCAGCTGTTTCCGGACATAAACTTCACATTAGTGACAGACAGGTGGCAGATACACTATATAATCCATTTAGGATGATATCTGGTGGTCCCCAGAAACAATATGGGCTGTGCCATTTGATATAGATTGAGGTGTAACGTAATGACATCAGGAGATATTACTTGTCAGGTTGCCAGTCTGAAACATACAGACGCAGAATGAAATCCACACCTACAGGCACTTTACAATCTCCTATTCCCCTAATCTTCTGTCTTTGAACTGTGGAATCACACTCCACACAGATAACACGCAGGTTAACAAAGGACCTCTTCAATTTTGTATATTTACTTAACTAGGTGTCGCACATTTTAATGCTGATTTAATACTCAACACATGTGTAACAATTGTTCACAAGGCGTTATTCATTATTTTCTTTTGGCCTCTAATTGAATATTTGGAACAGCATATTCAAATAGATATTTTCTTATCTTCAGTGCGCCAAAAGGTAAGCTTTGAAAGGACATGGTGGGCTACAAATATGTAAATGGGTCAAGAAATAATTAATCAAAAGAGGTTTCCATTATTAATGATTAATCCAACTGAGAGGGGGAGTGTAGGCATAAAGGGCGGAGGCTCTGACAGTGTGGCTTGATAATAGTTCTTTGTGTTTGTGTTTGTGAATAGAGAGGCCGAAGGTTTAGAATGACGTTGGTACTGCCCACACCAAGTCAGTGATGGCTGTGCTCAGAGAGGAGGGATGAAAGGGTGGAATGGAAATGCAGATAAAGAAAGGCAAAGGATAATTAGCAAAGGTACACTTGAGAATAAGAAACCAATGCAACCAAACATATACTGAGACGTTGTAATAGGGAATTACTCATAGGGCCCTCCATAACAGCCTCTGGATTTCTACCGGTATCAAATAGCTGGCCCTTTCTCTACGCTTGGGATTCAACAATAGCTGTCTCTAAGATCTAGAACAATCTCTTTTTTAGAAAATGACATGAAAATGTTTGACCCTGCCAGGGACAGGATTTCCAACATCTTGTAGTATAATGGTGATTATGATCTAAGAATTGGTGAAGTATCAGTGACAGGGGAGAGAACTTCAGAGTTGGTTAAGGCAGAGGCTGTGTCACTACTGTGTCTCAGAAATGTCTATTTCAATGCTCTGGCCGTAACTTCCAATAAATCTGAGATAAATTTAAAGCTCTCTGGTGTACTCTTTGTTTTCCTGTTCTTTGCTCCAAGAATTTCATCCCAGGTTGTATTCTTTAAATACTCGTTTTTATGACAGAACTTAAACAGAAAAAACCATAGTAAAGACCAGATTGCATGAAGTTTGATGCAAACAATGTAAGATGTAAAACATTGGTAGATACAAAGTTAAGATGACAAACTAATTACATAAGTCTTCCCCTTCTTTCTTTACCTTCTCTGAGACTTGTGATTTCATGTCAGGCTTCTCATTGAAGATGAAATACAAACAGTTTTTGGCCCATTTGCCAAACCTATTATTAATATTAAACATACAATGTATTTATGTGTCTAGACCTGCTGGACATCATTGATTATTAAGACCTTTTTTCTTATGAATGTCTCTGTGTAACAATTGCTATTTGTTTTTATTGTTTCAGCCATGCTACTTCCCTCGTCACTACTACTCGTCCTTGGCCTCCTCCCTTGGAGTCCCAGTGCATCATGGGCTGCTAAAGTGATCGTGGTTCCACCCATCATGTTTGAATCACACTTGTATATCTTCAAGACGCTGGCTGAGGCTCTACACCAGGAGGGCCATGAGACCCATTTTTTAATTTCAGAGGGTCGTGGTGTACCCCCTTCCCCTAACTTCCACTTACAGCGCTACCCAGGGATCTTTAACAGCACCACAGCTGACAATTTCCTTCAGTCCAAAGTCAGCAACATTTTCTCAGGCAGACTAACATTTCTTGAACTTTTTGACATCCTTGACCACTACTCCCAGAACTGTGATGCTGTGGTTGGCAGTGTTGAGGTAATGACCCGCCTCAAGGAGGCCAAGTTTGACCTGCTACTGGTGGACCCTAATGAGATGTGTGGTTTTGTGATTGCTCATATCCTGGGTGTGAAATATGCGGTGTTCAGCACAGGCCTGTGGTACCCCGCGGAGGCAGGTGCCCCAGCCCCCCTTTCATATGTTCCCGAATTCAACTCATTGTTGACAGACCGCATGTCTCTGCCCCAGAGGATCGCCAACACAGCTGTTTACCTGGTGCAGCGCTTTGGAGTCCGTTATATTGCATTACCCAAGTATGACCGGATTATGAAGAAACATGGAGTGACGCCTCAAGTGGCCATGTCTGACCTGGTGCAGGGCAGCCGGCTGTGGATGCTGTGCACCGACATGGCTCTGGAGTTCCCCAGGCCCACCCTGCCTCACGTGGTGTACATAGGAGGCATCCTCACCAAGCCCCCCAACCCACTGCCACAGGTCAGTACAGAGAGACACACAGGCAGGTAAAACGCACATTCAGAGACTGAAAAATGTTCACGGTTTATGCAGTGTTTCACTCTGAGAGTACTTTTGGATCACATTATGAATATCAAATCAAGTGAGAAACTATTAGGATAAAATAACTGGAAAACCATGTAGTTTTTTCGCTAATCCAGCAAACATACCCAATACATTAAGCTATGGACTCAAACACCATATCAAATACAATGTTCTCATATATTATCATTGATATGAAACATGTCCCCACATCACTCTAATAAGGTAAAGTAATATTACTGCATGATTAACCATAGGGCAAAAAAATGTGATGTTTACAAATGTATATGATGAAGTTCACTTACAAAAAACCCAAACACAAAATACACAGACGATTCTCTTTGTATTTTGTTCTTTGTCAGTTTGAGTTTTAGTATTCTTTTGTATATATCCTTTGCTTGTTCCATGTGTCTTCCCTTGTATTGGTAACTTGTATTATCAATCCTGCTACAATGCGATCCTTTATAGACAATGTTGGGTTGAGGATTGATTTTGAGCAGAGAGCGAGGGGAGTCATGGGGAGCAGAGGCGAGTGGTGATGGGGGTGGGGGTTAGTCCAGCATTCGGATGCCGAGAGCGCAGGCTGTCGGTATCTACTGTGGGTGGTGTTGGAATGCCGCTCCAGCCAATGGGGAGCATTGTGCCGTTTTGTGAAGAGGGAGTTATAATGGAAGTGGAGAGAGAACGAGGCCATTGTTCTGGGCAGAGCTTTGGGGACACTGAGACTCTTTTATGGGGTCGCTGAGGCTGCGTTGTAGGGACAGTAGGGCTGCACTGCTGGGACACAGAGTCCAGTGTGCCCCTGATGTTGCTCCGTGCCAGTGCCTGCCTTAACTGTCGCAGCTGCACCATAGGCCTCCCTCCATCTGCATGTCCTTCACTTTTATTACTCCCAACATGGCGGCTCCCTGATCCCCCACTGACAGACTATACATCTTCACGCACCAGACCTAGTTTCGGAGTAATGTGGGTTACACCTTTGGATGAAGCCAAGATCAGGAAAAACGGAGAAAGAGGATATTGTTGGCCTCATTTTACAAAGGCGTGTCAAGAATATCATTTTCACTTCCTCATGAAGTCTTGTCAGTTGGTAGAAACAGATTAGTGCTGCAGGACTTATTCCTTTTTCATTTGATATAACTACTGTGCTGACATTTAAAATGTTCCGGAAACTTTTAACTGATAGACCAAAGTTACAGTGCCCTGTAGGATGGATGTCAGATGCAATTTCTTAAATATGGAATTCATTTGATCATGTAACTAGGTCAATGGGGTCTTTGTTTTCTAATGAGTCAGTCAACTTCCTTCAGGGAATTCATCTCAAAAGTAATGAGATAATGGTGTTTACCGCAAAGAGATGTTGACCTCAACGTCCAAGTTGTAATCATGACTTGGAGCTCTGATATATCAGACATTAATCATTCTGGATTTAAGAAGTGTCTAAAAACAAACAAACCTGGACACATAACTTCCATGGATATTCCCTAATTTAATGCTAACTTGGTAAAATGTCATGAGTTTATAGCTCCTCTTCAGCCCATCAACTGCACGATTTGGGGCTATTTTCTTCTTCAGGAAATAGTTTTGGATTACCCAAAGTACCTAGTATGTGGTTTCAGGAGAGAAATATTGCTGTTTAATTTGAAGAAGAATGAAGAATGAATTAATTTGACCTCCATTGTATTGATGAATTTGGACTTATTTGATCTGACCCTTTAAGGACGTAAGTGCATTGTGAATGTACTGTATGAATGTTTTCGAATGGACTTTAAATCGGGATATACATTATGTTTAACAGCACTGCTGATAGTTGAAGACAGGTTTGCTTACAGCATTTTCTTTTATTGACATCCCCATAAGAAACAAGCATTTGTTTGGTTTCTAATTTTATATGAATTTATCAGAAATATAATTTTAATGGGTACAAATGAGTGCTTTGAGGATGATATCATGGCAAATATGCTACTCTCAGATTCATTTATAAGTTTATTTTTGAAGCAAAGTGCAACAGGCAGCAATTCAGAAGAGATCTAAATTCATGTCACATTTACTGAAGAATAATGTTTGCGCAAAAGAAAGCACACTGTAGATTTTACTCTTGCGATATGTGGGCCGTGCAAGTTTTCCTTTTGCTGCTTGCTCCAAAAGGAAAACTTGCACGGCTCTCATGTCAGGGGTACATGAGTGAGTGACATGCAGGCTCTGAGTCTGCATGCACAGCAAACCACCAATCACAATCATTCTTGATCAGATCACAGCAGGCCCCGCCCCACTAGTTTGCAGACCATCAAAACACCGGTAAAAAATGAGCGAGGCACAGGAGGACAATACCGGAGAGAATGAAGATTTACTTCGAAAAAGAAGAGCAACATCTGCCATCTGGAACTATTTTGGATACAAAAAGGTTGATGTTGACCAAACAAAGGTAATTTGTAGACAGTGCAATGCAATTGTTTCGGCAACCCGAGGCAACACGTCAAATTTACTCCCCCATTTGAATAGACACCACAAATCTCTGTATGACGAGTGCAGAGTCAGATCTGATTGCCATCCACAGCCAAAGCAAAAAACTATTTCAGATGTTACACCATATGAGAAAGGTTCAAAACGGCATAAAGACATCACAGATGCCATAACATTTCACCTGGCAAAATACATGGGACCAATTTACACCGTTACCAAAGAGGGTTTTAAGAAAATGATCCGGTCACTTGATAAGCGGTACGTAATACCGTCACGCACCTATTTTTCTCAAGCCGCCATCCCTGACCTGTATGAGAAATCCAGGGCAAAAGTTGAAACAGAGCTGTCTAAAGTGGTCCAGCCGGACAACGGAGCCGTACATAAGCCTGACGGTGCACTTTATTGATGAGGACTTCGAACTGAAAAGTCGCTGTTTGCAAACGGCATTTTTCCCAGAATATCACACAAGTGAGAACATCGCAGTGGGGCTGAAAGAAGCGGTGGCTGCTTGGGGCCTGGATGAGACACGTCAAGTCTGTATAACAACAGACAATGCTGCAAATATGGTGAAGGCTGCCTCCCTGAATGAGTGGACCAGGCTGCAGTGCTTTGGCCACAGACTCCATCTTGCAGTTGGTAAGTTACCCCGTCCACGCTTTATTTACTAAGCTGTGTCTGTGTCGAGTGTGTTTTTTTTTTTAAATAACCTTTATTCAGGGAAGTGTAACAGAGTAATACTATATTTTCCAGGAGTGCTTAACATCCTGTCCTGAAATGCAACAGTTTTCTTAATTTTAATCAGTTTCATAAATGTTACGTTTTATAAGCAATTCATTGTTGAAGGCAGCTAATTTCAAACTGGACACACACACACACACACACACACACACACACACACACACACACACACACACTCACACACACACACACACACACACACTACACTACACACACACACACACACTACTACTACTAACTNCACACGGCCTGCAGGTCCATGCTCAGACAGGGCGAAGCTGGTGCGCTATCGCCCGGGAGAGCAGCCATCGCTCCCGGCTTTGCAACCTGAGCTGATGACACGAAGATATCATCTTCTTGCTCATCCGAGTCGGACAGGAGGAACTCAGAGGCATCCTCTTCGTCCTCCATGTAGTCCAACTCCAGGATATCCTCCGCGGGCGAGAACATGGTGAGGTCCAGTTGGGAGCCCCAACATGAGGGGGGTCATGAGGGGGTCCTGTCCCGACAAGCTAGCTTGGCGTGCTAGCCGTCGGCGGAGGCTCTTGATGGTGAAGCGGGCACAATGCCCGCACCGGCCGGGGTTTTCGATAGCCTCCTGGGCGTGTTCCAGCCCGAGGCAGGACGAGCAGACCTGGTGTGAGTCTGTGCCTGATATCTTCAACCCGCAGCCGCAGAGCCGAGCCTCCGAGTCCCTGACTCCTCTGGTGTGAGGGAGAGAAGCGTCCATCTCATTCGCCGTGGTGACAGCGTGGAGAGGACCCGCTCGTAACAGGTACATTGCTGAGAAAAAATTATTTCCCCACCTGTCGTTAATCCGGAAAAAAAACGACGGTGTAGAATTTTATTCTCAAAGAATATTAACTGGTGTGTTAATACCTTTTTATCTTCCCCTCCTCTGGTGTGAGAGAGAAAAAGAAAAAACGTCCTCGCTACCGTGGTCTCGGTAGTGAAGGAAGGCAAGCTAGTAACAGGTGTGTTAATAGCTTGAAAAATCAAAACCTTACCTTTATTTCCGAAGAAAGAAACGTCGAGGTAGATTGCAATACTAACTGGTTTGTTAGTATTAACAGTCTTCTTGCGAAGCAGAAAAGTAGCCGGCGAGCGCCCGTCGACCGAAAGTTAGCTTTGGGTTCAGTCTGTGGACTGTTAAGCTAGCCCGGCTACTGATATGTCGAGATGTGCTCTGAAGCGAGAAGAGGTGTTTGAATGACCCTGCGACGTGGCGCAAGCTACTTATAGGGTGGGTGGATTCCCTGACGCTGACGTCAAGATCACCAGCCAATCAGGAGTGGCGTAATGAGATTGATGCTTCTGTTTGCTCCGCGATGAGGCGCATCCCATAGTGAGACATCGAACGGAGTGTTATGAATGAGAACACAGAGATGTGCAGCTCACCGACGCAGAGGAAAAACCAACATCACATCAAATCAGAGATTAAACACAGAGCCATGTGAAAAATGGATACACCCCCCACCCACATATAGGAAAAAAGGGCAAAGGCAAGAGATTAGCCCTACTTAGAGAAAAGGTTTCCATGGCAGCATCCTCTAGTTGATCCCAAACGGAGCTCTTATCGCGGCCTGGAAGAATTTCCCAGCAGCGGCAGCAGGAGGGAAGAGAAGCAGCGAGAGCAGGAGGGGTTAGGCCAAGAGGTGAGGGGGTTTAATGACAAAAACAAGAGCAGAGCAGGCCGAGAACCACATCAGAGGAACACGAACAAGGACCAACAAAGACATGCTACGCTCATTTATTCACTAATTATAGCTTGGAGCTTGTCAGGCAGGTGAGCCATAATCTTGTTATTGGGATTTGCGATGATGAGGCTGTTTGTTTATGATTTGTTTAAATATATAATTAACTGCAAGTCATTATTGTTGTCACATATTTAAAGACTGTAGTTTAACTTGAGACAAATAAATATAATTTTGCCTCTTTAAACATGCGATGTATTAATTTGCATTACAAGGATTTTCCAATTTCTCCCCTGAGTCATGTTATTCTGTTTAGGGCATGATTTTAAATACATGTATTCAAACTTGTCATAGAGCAGTGACTACAGATGTCTTTAGTTTTCTCAACTCATAAGTGTGTAAATGGTAACATCAGAACACAAACCTCAAGGTATAACCTTTCACCTTTAGAGATGTTCAGTTAACTATTTGATAATAAACAATTACCGTTACACCGCCTCATCAGATCACATGTCTGACTCCTGCTGTTCCCTGTGATAATAACTCTTCCCTCAGTCAGTGAAAGTTCACTGTGGTTTCATTAGGCGAAACCATGCAAGAGCTTTCAGAAGAGCTGGTAGGGGAAAGACTTCAATTCCTTTACATTAGTGAAACACATTTATACAGTTCAACCTGTTTGGTTCCAAATATGTTTTTCCACAAACAACAGAGATCATGTTAGTAAAGCAAGGCTGTGCTTTTGAGAACACAAGAAGGAGATGTTTTCATGAAACAGCTGAATAGATGTCAGCTAAATGTAAGAGGAAGAGTCTGAACAGAAGACCCTACCCAGCAGGCCTTCACAGAGGTAAATCCTCATACTGATGTCCTCCACGGGCAGTGCAGGCGGGCCCTTCGCTGCAGCGACTGCCGGTTCTTTGGCGGTTGGTTTCAGAGTGTGAGGCTTCCCCTGTGGAAACAGTCACGTTAGAAAACTTACATTTAGTACAACAGCAACACAATTATAATCTCCTATTTCAGAAATTCTGTTAACAAGTCTAAAAATGTGCTGAGGATGTTTTGTATCTATCCAGTCAAAGGCTGTTAAGATTGTGTGAACATGCATTTCTTAAATACCATATTGATTGATTTGTTTTCATAAAGAATTTTAGAACAGATATGATTTATTTATAAAATATCCTAGCATCCAGTGTGCTGCAGATTATTCAGGTTGGATACTGTTATTGCAGTGTGTCTGAGCAGCAATACAGATGTCTACCATCTTGATGATCTCAGATCTGGAATAGAAAAGTTGGAGTGGAAAGGGATTTTCCACACGTACAGTTTTCCAAACCGCAGAGTGCACTTGAGAGTGTTTTTGGATTGTAAACAAATGTTGTTTGTTTAAAAGTAGTGTCGCCCATTACCAACGGTTTGAGATTTAAAGGAATTAAGGCAGCTTCTGTAGAGTTTTTTAAGTTCAAACGTAGTATGTTCCAAATGAAATGTTCTCAGCTACGGATAGTGAGTTCTGTACTTACAAACACCGAGCTGGTGGCTGGATTGGTTTCAATCTCACTGTCGGAGAGAGTCCCTCGGGACTGAGTTAAGTGAGCAGTCCTCCTCCCCCCCAGGCCGTCTCCTGCTGTGCTGCTCAGGTCGCTGTCAGCTCCGAGAGTCTCTCCAGAGCTGTTGCTGATCTGAAGAAAAGAAAGCCAGGTGTGAGAACAACACATAAGAGATGTCTCAAAGCAAGAACGTCTGTTATAAAAGCAGCTTTGGGCATTCATTCTCATGGTTAATTAGTCAAGTAAAGAAACAGAGAGAATTCAAATATTCTAACTTCCTATTAGCTGATTCCTTGCCTTCATTGAAATGATATTCTCGCTATGTCATATTGAAATGCACTACTTCCTGTTTTGAATGGTTGCACTATTGCTTTATGTATTTGATTACACAATTCTGTTTGCTTGAATTAATTTACCCTGATGAAGGTCTAGTAAACTGGTTGCCATAAAATAAAGTTTTTTCGTGCCAAATATTATTAAAATCCATTATAATTAGTATTATTTTACTGGTTTGAACAATGTTTGGCTGCACACCATTAGTTTGTATTGACAGTGGCTGGCCAGTAATTAGTCAATTAAGTTTAAGGGGTTAAAGCATATGCAGTAATACATTAGTTTATGATTGACTTTTTAAAGAGAGAAGAAATAAAAAATAAAAAAAGACTTCAAATATCTTGGACTAAAACCATCATTATGGGATGTGCTGTTAATGTTGAGAGGTACTGTAGCCAGAGCAGATGTGAACGAGGTGCTTATATCCGAGTTGGCCGTGCCCTACCACTGTGCTGGCCTCTGAGTCCTGGCTGGTGCTTCTTGTCAGAATCGGTGGCTCTGAGCTAGTTACAGACTCTGTGTCGCTCTTCTGTAAACCCACATGGAGAAAAAAGGAGAGAATTCAGTGATGAACAGTTAACAGTGAAGAATGTACAGCAGAGCCTGGGGACGGCAGAGAATCATGTTAAAAGGTACGCCATTTCAACTAGATACTGAACCTGTTGTGTGTGTGTTTGTTAATCATCACAAAAAAGAGACTACTCCATGAACAAACCTGAGATCCAGAGACACTGAGGCCACTGTCAGCACTGATCTGTGACTTCTTCTCCTCAGCATCAGTCACCTGGGGGCGCTGCTGCTTTGCTCCGTCAGACCCTGAGGGACAGACCATTATTATCAGCATGTTTTCATGAAAAGATCCCCATTATCTTCTTGCCTTACTGAGAGTCGCCCTATTTAAAGCCAGCACAGCACAGCAACACTGATGCTACATCCATCTAAAGTGCCAAAGCCTCTATTTAAACACTGCCAAGCAAACAGTGTAACACTACATTAGTCATGTTGGTGTAATTATTTTGCTAGCAAGGAATCAAAATCTTAAGATGCCAATAGTTAAAAATACATGGCGAATATAATCATCTAACGAGGTAAACAAACCTGTTTTCAACACTTGTATAACAATGGTGTTTAACTGAGTACTAACACATAAAGGATCTTAGGACACAGAAGTGACAAAGGGGCAAGCAGAGAGTGCCATAAAAAGCTACAAAAAAAAAACAGCAGTAGCGTGACATTAGTTTCAAGTCAAGGCTGCAAATGTGGCCCAGGTTACAACACAGACGGCAAACAGACACAGGCAGTTAGCATGCAGACAAACTGGTGGACGGTAAAGGAGACATTTTCTGTTTCAAGTGGGATTTCTACTATCCATCACTTCAGTAGATGCAGATATGGTGAAAAGTAAATTCTTAAACGTTCTTGTTATTTGGTTGTTTTTGTGACACTTGACCATTTAACTGTGGAACTGTAGGATATTGGCTGCAAATACACAATTTACAGCAAGTCACTTGAAACTGGAAAAAATACGGTTAAAAATAACAGGACAGGGAAGCAGGTACAACTATTCTGCTACTCTTTAAGCATGGCATCAAGGGAAAAACACTAAAACAAAATGACATATTGCTTAACATTCGATAACATAACATTCCCATATTGTTTGTTATGTTACGGACCCTTAGATATCTGTCTAAGGCTAAAGCTTAAACAGATATCCCTTATATCAGTTAAAATGTTTTTCTTTTTAAATGTTGTATAGAATAATTAAATTACCTGCTTTAGCTGTATTCAAAGAGGAAACAAATGTAAACAATAATACAAAAACACTTTTATACAGTACTACATTCCCAGGTGGCTTCTATAGTATGTTCTGCATCCCACCTCAGGAGTTTGTCAGTATGTAATGACCTCAGGTTTGTTAAGCGAGTACATGTGTTAAGCAAACATACCATGACTGGCTGCTGTCATGAGGTTTGATTAAACACAACTTGAAATATTTTTGGAAACTAAAACAATGATGTCATTTCTCACAGCGCTATATCTGTGAGAAATTCAGTGAGTCCTCGCTTTCATTTACAGATAATTTAACACCACTAGAGTATGCCTACTATACTGAATATAATATATTGGTTTATACATATTTCACAGAAATTGTGTGAAATATGTATAAACCAATATTAAAAGAGTCATACTCTCCATTTTTCAATTGAAATAATTCAAGTTGAAATCTGATAAGGCGTACATAATAAATCCAATCACGACTTTATAATCTCAAATGATTACTGTTATGCTATAGCATCTTCTCGTTATCCATTCAGACATCCTAATTAGGAGCACTTATTTCTTCATGTATAAAGACACTGGTGGAAAAAGGTCAACAGCTGAACACCCCAATCTTTTCTTTTTTCGTGTGTGAAAAGTCTCTTACTCTGTGGTTTTTCCATAGCTTTTTGCTTATCCTGGTGCTTGCTCCACAATTCTACCCAAGATGCATTGCAAGCAAGGAGAGAAAGACAGAGAGAGAGTCAGAGAGTTGGTTGAAAAGGCATGTGTGGTGGATGAGCATTAAAATCAAAACAAAAGAACAAAATAAGCATTGAGAATCTATCATTGTTAAACAGAGGGGTATTGTAATGTCTGCATGTAGCTGTGCTTTCATCTGGACACAATTTTTAAAAAATAAGTATTTTGTTGTCAAAATGGCTCCACTGTGTGAAACAGCTACTATGGGAACATTACAACACACCGGAGCCCCGCCCCAGAGTCCTGGAGAGCCACACAGTGACGTCACAATGAGCTTTGGCTCTGACCACAGGCCACAGGTTTCATCAACTGGATTTGTCTGGCTCTCCAGAGCAAAAGGGAAGAGAGAGTGAGAGAGGTTTGATTTGGAAAAAGAGCATGGGATGGGGTTGAGAGGCCGAATAGCCAGCAGGTGAAATGGAGCAGTTGCAGAAGCCGGGATGCAAGTCTCACAGCAGACTGTAGAATTGAAGGTGCAACTTCTAACAGGAAGAGAAGGGGTGCGGGTAGGAGAGGTGTCAGGGTGGTTGACTGAAAGTTTCCCCGGTAAACAGACCCAGAAACATTGTCAGAATATTAAGTAGTAAAGAAAATATTAAGGATTTTCTCTGTTCGTTGGTTCTTTTGCGACCAATACAAAATGTGTCTTTTCACTGGGACTGTCTACTGGGGAGTGTTGCTTCCACCCTCCATGCTGATAGCAAAGGCAGCTGCCATTTTTCTGCAGCACGCCTCGCAGAAACCTGCAGTAAAGGCACAGACGAGCACCGATTTGGACTTAGCGATGCACATACCTCTGGTTTCCCTCGTCCACTACTGCAGATTTAGCTATTTGAAGACCAAAACAAAGACATGCATTCATGGTACTAAGAGGCTGGCAACAGAAGTCCAGGAAGGAGGCAAACAGGGGCAGAGAGGTTTCAGGAAGGGGAGACAAACACACGCAGTCCAGGCTGGCACACAGGCAAATATTCCATACACTTGTTAAGCCTATATATTTTTTAACTAGAGCCAAATTCTGCTGTTTAGGTTTTCTGTTGAAATATTTTGTTTTAATTCCAAATCCAGACACAGACCCTAAGATCACAGGAGCACGTTTTCACACAAAAAAAGTGTTTCTTTACAAAGCCCACTCCAGGGATTATAACCAGTGGTAGAGGTCAAAGTGGGTGGAATATTATAACACCTGTAAGAATATTTAGGGGAGAAGTGAGGGGATCTTTACGTTTGGGGAGGGGAGGGGGGGGGTAATTAGGTTGATGAGCTTGTAGGGCACGGGGGCAGGGGATCTCACAGTGCACATGCAATCGGGGCTGGAGTGGTGTACACACCAATCGAGGCAATAAAGTTCTCCTCGTTCAGACTCCGGGTATCAAAATGGCGGGCTCCTTTGCCCATTGCGTGGTGCGGCACCTGCAGGTGTGGGACGTTCAGGAGGTTCTGAGGGCGGGCGGTCTCCATGCGACCGGTTGAACTCTCTTTACTGCCCGGGCTGTCAGCACTGTCTGTGGGGCTTTGCTTGCGTTTTTCTGGGTCTACCAATTTACCACAATGAAGGGACCAAAGACAGAGTTCATCAACATTACAGAAAAAGAAAATATGTGGGGTTTAAACTGAGAGAGTATTAACAGAATTAGACAAAGAAGGAACAACTACAGTTTTTTTTTTTTTGTGAATAGCATATAGCGTGCAGAAACGTAATTTAAACATGAAGCAAAGACAAGTGTTAGTAGCGCAGGCCCGCTGCTGTTAAGCTTCTCAGGAGAAAAAGTCTTGAAGAGTCTTTAGAAAATGGTATAAGTCGCAAATATTTACATGTAGGCATTCCTGTGCTAAACATGGGGGATGTACCTTTGGTTTGATAATGTGTGCGTGCTATTTCCAATAAGCTGAAGACACTGGCCATTCCTCCGAGGCCCGCGTTGGTGTAGGAGTGCTCCAGACTGGAAACTGTGCACTTCAAGATGTCCAGCATGCCTTTGTACACCTTCCTGCTCACCTCCTGCAAACACACACAGCAACAAGGTTCATAGTGACTCAACATTTTGTGAGTCTACAGTTTGCTAGACTGTAACCAACAAATTGTTGTTAAAGTGACTTAGAGAGCAAAGCAACACATCATGCACATAACTACACTTAACTACTAATGTTTTCAATAAATAAATCAACAATAATTGAGTTCAACATATGAATATTATGATTTGTTGCTTTTCTTTAATATATACAGTATGACAGTAAAATGCATAGATTGGTCAAACTGGCAATAAATGAATAAAACAAGCAACTTCAATGTGTCATCTTGGTGTCTCTGACATATGGGCCTTTCGCGTTTACATTAAAAAGACAACATCATCTATTCTCAGAATTAACAATTAATGTACATTTGCCCAACAATAACAAACCATGAGTGAAGGAAAACATTTGTAAATGAGCAATCTAAATCCAATAAAGAAATACAAATGTATACAATTGGGAAGTCATTTTAATTCATAATGTATTCATTTCATTGTACATCAGTTAAAAGTTGGTCTCACCACATCCCGTATGACCTCCTGTCTGGCGTCATCCTCCGACTGGACTGTTCGGTTCAGCTTACTCAGCACAAACACACGAAGCTGCTCGTTCTCCAACAGGCGGCGAACTTTTTTCATGTTCAGCCAGCCGACTCCCTGACCGTCCAGAACGCTCTGCACCACTTCCTTCAAGAACTGTTGGTTCTCACTGAATCAGAACAAACTCAAATTCAGTGTGATAAAATGAAACGCATCTCAAGACAATATGCTCTAATCATGTTGACAGAAGTGCTGCGATTGAAATAATTCATCACCTTGTGTTGTTGACTCGGCCCTGAGGAGAGGGCGATTCTCTCTTCACCGTCGGACTGTGCTTGATTACTGAAGACTTTTGGTCCACAAGTGCTCGAGGGGCACGTGCGCCTGGAACAACAACAAAAAAACAATAAGGTTTCTTAGCGCCACAACAAGAAAAAACCAACACAAACAAACTACTAGGTCACCAAACATAGGAGCACTCAGTGGAAGAGAACTGGACACACACAAAAGGTATTGCTCACCAGGAACTGTAAACCAGGACAGGAAGCAACTTGTAAACTAGTACTTCATCTAAAGCTACCACATCGAATAGGAAAGACAGCACTTTACATCACTGTGTGTAGAGGGCAGGCACAGCTGGAATCTACTGAAGGTTTTCTACTGCTGAACAGACAACTTACTGGAGCTGCTAGAGGCTATTACCACACAAAGAGGGTTGAAGGACAAATCAAACAAGGACATGGTACACACACACACACACACACATTGGCAGCATTGATGTGAGGTCAGACGGAGGAGTGTGTGTAGAGGAACTGCATTAGTGATGTCATGCGTTGAAGGAAATTAAGAGATGAGTGGGGGTTAAGGAAAATCAGCAACACTGTCGGCATCTGCGCGTCTACTTGTCGGAGTTGGTTCAATCTTTTTAGAATTGTATTTATATAGCTATAAAAAGAGGTAAAACTGTTTATCTTCTCCCTTAATTGACTCAAATGAATGCAAGTGAGACTTGACCCAGACTTGAGTCGAAGCAGCATTTAATCAAGCGGCAGATTAATGAGCATTATACCTTGTTACAGATGTGTTCAATTTTATTTTACACCTGAGGGACATTATATATGTATCACACTGCTATTAATAATCTCATAGATGTTAAGGCAACACAGGCTCAAATTAATTTCCATGATGGCAATGATTTCAATGTATTTAAAGCAGTGGGAGACAATGTGTGTGTACTCATACTAAGTGTTTAATGTGCCTTTCTGCACGCCCAGAACATGCAACTTCTGTGACTCACTGCACGGATCAATTGACCCACACCCACACTTGACACACAATCATCCTTGCGATTCCATTAACAATTCAAATAAAGCGTAATCAAGTGAGACAGACACATCCTCAACAATGTTGACAAAATGAGAGAAGGACAATCTGACAGCCAGTTGTTGACCTTTAAAAGTAATCCATCAGCCATCATGAGCCCCTCAGGCGGAACGTAAAATGATCTAGCTAATGTATCCTGACAGTCTCTGCTGAAGTCTGTTTGCATTTCTCGACAAGGTCCATTTGTTCACATGTTGACAAAATAAAACCATTTTGATCAAACTCTTTAGAGAAACTAAGAGTCTGGCCAGCTTTAACTCAGAGTCAGGCCTGATGGGATAAGAGTCTAAATGAAAGGCAATGTGTAAATCAATTCAAAAGGATTATAACCATTATTTAAAATAAATGTTTTCAACCAAAGGTCATGTGCAACTGTAGCTATACATCCTAGAAACCACTGTGTGTGAACTTTGTACTGGTTTTCTAAGAACAGTAACACAACTCTACTAGCACACTGTGCATGTAGTGAGTATATACACAAAGTGCTACACAAAGACCAAACAATTATAGAACAATCGCCTTTAGTTATTTGTTGATTGTGTTTCAAAGACATGAAAGGACGGAGGAGGAGCCCCCTCCTACACGCAGAGAACAGAAGGCTTTTCTGATCTGACATCTGTCAGTACAGGCTGGCTTTTCTCAGTTTTATGTGACAGGAGGTAGCTATTGTTTATTATTGTTTCTGAAGTGTCATGGGGAGAAGAAAATTACGTTTTATTCCCAATATCAAAACTTTGATTGCACCATAAGAATTCTTCAGCACAATTTTGTTTGCAAACCAATAAAGCACATCTGTTCTTAGAATAAATAAGAAAGTGACTGCTATAGAGGCAGCCCTTAAAACCCAAAGGCTCTTTATGAGTATGATAAACAATGCTGCAGAAAGATGGTTATGGATTTTTCCAACACAAATGTGGCCAGACATAACTCAAGCTGAATGAAAATGTTTTTGTTAACAAACAGTGCCGGAGTCTTGGAAAGTTTCCATCAATATAGGCTAAATGAGCCCAGAGTATTATTAATAGAGTCTAGGCTGCAGCGTTACTTGAAATGTTACTTGACCCTTGGGGTGAAATGATTTATCGACCTAAAAACAAAAGAGAGATCCTACTGAAGCTGGACCAGCAACAACTTCAATGTAACCGCAGGAAAAGGGTTTATATTGAAATGATACATCTATTTGACAGTCTCTTAATTGTCAGACAGTGTACACACATTCACTCAGTCACATTCAAAAAGATACAAATATATATTTAAATATAAAATGTATGATATCGTTTTTTTCCCTTATATTTAAGATGAGAGCCTCAGGTCCCCGAGAATCCGCTTGGCAAACACACACAATGCCAAGCAACATCGTGCCTTACCTCCGGAGTATTGAGTCTAATCTAAATGTTGGCACACTGCAGAACCCCGTTTAACCCCGTTTTTTTTACCGTCAGGTTGTAGTTTTGATGACAAACATCTTGCCAGGTAAAAGACTAAGTGTGGTTCACTGGTAATAAAAAAAATGTGACAGATGCAAATTTGCATAATTCTTCTGTAGTCACCGCTCATTTTGTACAGCCCATTTACTGCATTATTTGGGCCCAACCCCATGTTGTACTCTGTGGTAGCAAAAAGGAGAAGAGAAACAGTGAGAAACAACGGATGCTGGTACATTTGTTTAGTCTATTCTATTTTCATTCTGTCTCCCCAGCATCCTGTTTTCCATCCTCTGCTTCATTTGCTTCCCTGTTGTTATTTGTTGCACGATTAATTGTTCCACTATTTACTGTGATTACTGATATTAGAACCAAGCATTTTTCCTCACATGCACTTCCTATCTTTCTTGTGATGAGGCTAGTTCAATAGATAAAGTGACTCTGGAGTGAAATAAACGTTGGTCTGAGGAAGGGAAATGGCGACGTGGCAAGAAGACAAGGGACTTTACTGAATCATTTGTGACTGAAATGAAAATACACAGAGGGGAATGCTGGGAGATGTAGTTGACTGGCTTGAAGAAGCATGCAGCTCACTCTGTTAAAGGGCAGAACCCACCTTCTCCGCTCCCCGGGCCGGCCTCTGTTATTATCTCCATTAGAGAATTTAGCCCAAATACTGCACACAAAACCCAGAATTAGTGCCGCGGAAAAGGTGGACAAAGAGAGGGACATGGGGCCAGACAGAACCAGCCTGAACATCACTCCAACACACCACACACATGCACACTCAACATGGCGCCAAATCAAAGAAGATACATTAACCAATTAAAAGAGACAGACAGAAAAGAAAAAAGACAACATGTACTGATGATGGCATTAACCCTGAAAGTGATCAGATGACTAATGCCATGCTTTGCTTAGCAACACATTCAACATTTACAGGCCCAAGTACTGAAGGAGCTGTGTGTAGCTCATACTTTGTTTTACATACACATCAGTGGATTAAAGCAAAAGTGCTGAATGGCCCGGATCAACAATACAAATGTAAATCTAGAGCAATGGATGGAGTATTTCTTTAGTATTTCTTGAGTCTAATGCAGGTCAGGAATCTTGTATTGAGCCAAAAACACAGAAGATAATCATGATACACAGTAAAATACTTAATTAGAAAACCTCAGATTGTCAAAGTTTCAACACTGTTTGTGTTAAAAAAGTGACCTAAAAAAAGGGAAGGAAACAACAATGCGCCACCACACAAGCAAGGGCAAAAACATACAAGAGCAGAGAGGCAGCGGGTAAATAAACTCCATTCACTGAGGAGGACAGGTCTCTCTGTGAACAACATTCAAGGACATGAATATAACTACATCGAAACATTATTAGGTAAATGCATAAAGGGCTGAGCATCCTTCTTGTAGCAGTGAGGATGTGCAGATGCCACTCCATTAACAGCTTGCACAAATCTTTTGATTAGAAATGTGTGCATCGCAGTGCATCAGAAAGACTCCCAGCAGTCACAAGGAGCGGGATGGCAAGGGACAAAGGGGAGGCGTGGAAACACACAAATGACATTAAAGGTGTATCTTCTATCTTAGTCCTATGCTGACAAACAGGGTGTAAGATAGGTATAGGTCACTCCAAGGATAAAGAGAAGCCTAAAACAGACTATCACACCAGACATAACATACCCGGGCTGTCAGGGTCATCTGAACGACAAAGACAAAACACATCATATTCAAAGGAACAGAACGTTTCAATGGCAGCTATTCCACGTGGAGTGGAGCTATTGAGTTACCATGCTTTGCCTGTTTTTCCTCTAAGTTAAAAGGAGAATCCAGTCTAAACATAACTCATATTAGCCTTTAAACTTTATAAGGTATCGTAATATTCCCCAGTGCATTTTAGGTCCCTGTAACTTCAGCAGAGCATGTATCTGCATACTTTTCCTCCTCTCTTTAACTCATGTGTAACTGCTGACAAATATTTACATATTTATCAGGTATACCAAATGATACCTGTGCATATGTTTATACCCAAGACCACACACTTGAAGACAGTCCATATATAATGTTAGTGTGAAGATAATAGAGAGGTAGGAGGAAAAATAGGCAACTTAATGAGAAAACATTTATGTAAGAATGAGGCAACAACAAATCTGTTTTTGAGTGGATTTTCTTGTTAACAGAGAAAAACAGTTTCATTTATCCTCAATATTCTCCTATAAAATAGTGCCATATCCGTTTGGCAATCCAACAGGAAGAACGTCAGGCTATAAAAACAGATCTACAAACCTGCTTGCTCCATTTCCTCCTCAATATCAATAGTGAAATATTCTTTTACCCAAAAATAAATGTAAAACAGAAATGAAAAACAAAAAAGGCAGAACAGGACATATCATTCATTAGTTAAATAAGAGTGGTAATGGGAAAAAAAGAATACTGGTTGGACATATTATGCTGTTCTGTTTAGAGAAGTTTACAATAGTTATGAATGATTGATTTGCTATTCATGAGCAGTTAGGGATTATTCATTATTAGAATGGTATAGTATATGAAATGAGAGGAATTAAGTCAGATATGTGAATGTATTATTCATTAGTATGATAAAATAGCATCAAATGAATGCAAAAATACAGCCACAAAATGTATAATTAAATTAGGTTGAAAAACACAAATGTTGATGATAATGATGCTAAGTCTACTCTCCCTACAGCACCTGTGTTTCCCTTACAAAACATTCTATAATATTCTAACCAACCTCAAACCAAACTGAAAACTGGTTTGGACAGGTTGACAGGAATAACCCATTGCATGAGGAAGGTGTAAAGTGGTCAGATGGTGCTGTCCTACCTTTGAGACTGGGGAAAGGTGTTTTCTCCCTCGCTGCCTTGTTCGGAAGAGCAAGATTGGACAGACTGAAACTGGTGCCGTGGTTCTTGTAAAGATTGCCTGTAGTGGGAGAGATAGTGACAGGTTCAGAAGGACGAAATACAGTTCTAATAATTATGCAGAACAAAAGGTTGCATATAAAAGTTATTCACTATTCACATTAATGTTGGAAAAATCTCATCAAAACAGTGATCAAACAGTGTTTACTTACAAGAGGCAACTGATTAAAAAAACAAGTTGTTAAATAATCTATAGTAAATATAGAAGTCTTCTTGTAAATCAAAAGTTCTGAACATAACACACTAACATTTAAGTTGATATGAACGTGTTAGCATGCAGTTGCCTTAATACACTGGTCACTTCATTTACAAAAGTGCAACATTCACAGTCCTTTTAGCCATTTTGGATCTTTACCAACTACAGAGGGAAGAGCTGGCCCTTTGTTAAGTGCTAAACCTCCCATTCAAACCAGCCATATGCTAACTCTGCAAACTAAAACAGTTTAAGTCTGGACGACCAAAACCAGAGTTTAGAGACGCTAGAAATCTTTACAGAGCCAAGTGGACCAGCAAAGTTGTCGGACCCCTCTTACAAAACACATATCACTTTAATTAGTTGTTTTTTGTTTGCCGTATGATTTTTTGGTTTAGAGACGGGGGGCTGATATACAGTATAGTGTTTATTGCAATTGCCCTTTTTTAACATCATGTTTGCTCAACTGTTAAAAACATACTGTTCACATTTTTTTTCTCCAATAAATTGATGTTTTCAAAGTAAATGGATAATCGTTTTTAATAATCGTGATATCAATTACTGATCCAAATAATCGAGATTATGATTTTTGCCATAATCGAGTAGCCCTAATATACAGTATAGTGTTTATTGCAATTGCCCTTATCATTTTTTAACATCATGTTTGCTCTCATGAAGGTTGACCACTATACTACCCACCATACACATTTTAATGTAAATTATACATTTGTGAGGGGGCGTGTTCAAGCTGAATGTTTTAATCTTGAAGAAAAGGTGGACTGGGTCTGACAGGTGCTAATAGTTTTGGTGATCCAATTCATAATCACCCATAGAAATCAGCCCACTTTTCAAGTTTTACAAGCTAGAGTTAACTGAATAGAAACCTAATACATTTTCAATATTCTTACTAGCAAAGGACATGAGTCCACCAAAACCGTCAGTGCTGCTGTTGGAAATGGTGGAGTTTGGTGAGCTGTTGTCTCCCTCTCCATCAGACTCTCCAGGGAGCCTCAGGCTGCTGGGACGTAAAGGACGCTGTATCCTGAAGAAATGATCACAAGACGTTAACATGCGTCATACACACAGGAACAAAACCACACACTATGGGAAACTCAAGCACTCGCACCATACCACAACATCACACCACCACAGATTCAAGACCACCATGAATGGAAGTGAGTAATTTGACATGCTGGGTTTTGATTGAAACATTGCATGGTCGGTCAAAGAGCCCATTTGAATGATGATGATGCTTTCATTCAAGTGATGAACAAGTTTAACACACTTGTTGCCATTGAGGTTCTGGTTGAATCGGGGGGTGTATGACTCCACTTGCTCTTCTGCATCAGGGTCATCCTCTGAGGGGAAGCCATACTGAGGCTCAAAGTACGGGTTGTCATACTCCTGCTTTTTGTTGGCTGGGTCTGCCAGGCCAGCGTCAGCCGGAGGCCTGAGGAGCGGCTGACTGACCAATCCGGAGGCAGGGTTCTGCAGAGCGGCACCTGCTGGTACTTCAATTGTAGGGATTTCCCCCGGCTCCTGGAGAAATTAGCACAGGATTCATGGGAAATATTATTATTGTTCTCCTATCCCTTATTTCAATACAGATAAGGTCAATTCTACATTACTTTAGTTTCGCCATATATATTTTCCAAAAAATGCACAGCTTTGATAGTGTTGGATATATCAGCATTGATATCAGGTTGATAATACACATTTGATAATATTGTGTCAATAATCAATCGCCTCTTAAGTTTTATTTGTTTCTTTAAGTTCTGGCTGTGTCTCCCTCTCCAAACACCCCACCAACAAAAAAACAATATGCTAAAGAAAAGGAGAAGAAATGCACAATAAAGTCATAAAGTGTTTTTTTCTTCTATTGATATCACAATCATTGTTATCGTGATTTATTTTGGCCACAATAATTGTTTATTGAAATCCTTATTTGTGACAGCCCTTGTACTCTCTTTTTAAAAGTGGTATTTACAAACTTAAAAATATATTTTGAATGCAAGTTCACACTGAATAGCTCACCTGGTTGACTCCCTGGATGACCGTGCTGGGACTTGAGCTTGCAGTTGTGCTGGAGCTGGAGCGAAGAGGTTGTCCATCAGAGGCTTCTGCAGGCCCGTCCCCACTGGATGGCCCCTCCGAGCCTTCCCTGAAGTCATGGAAGTCCTGAAACTCCACCTCACTAGCGTCTCCCAGTGCAGCATGGGTAGGCGGGTCCAAGCCTAAGACATCAAGGTCCAATTTTACAAGGGTGGTAAATGGTATGAAATGCTCACAATGTAAGTGATATTGAAACAACTACTCACTTGGTGTGTCTCCCTGGATGTCACCTTGGATCATCTCACTCACAAGGTCTCCAAGGGAGGAGTAGGAAGAGCTGGAGTCATCGTAAGCCTCGCTGTCACTGCCACTGCAACAGATTCAATGTAAAACCAAGAACTTAAACCTCTTACAGTAAATAATATGATCAACTTAATTAAGCAGATTTAATTGTTGTGGGATTTAAAAAAAGTATATATAATTTTTGTTACCTAGATGAATGTCTTACCTGTCTGTGGGATCTGACTCGTTGCCCTCATCCTCCAAGGGGCCAGCCATAGCTTCAACCAGCTGAGAGCTTCCGTCGTACACTCGGTAGAGTACAGGCTGCAGCTGGTGTGCGTACCACTTGGGCTTGTCCCCGATTAAGGAGGGGTCGAACACATCTGAAACAAAGTGTGCAGAGCAAGATATTAACAAAACGAACTTTAATGCATATCAGACGAGATACAGGCCATCATCTTTAGTGAGCCTTACTGTTGTGTATCCTCTGAAACGCGACGTTGGTAGGATTGAGAGCCCACTCTCCATAGTACTCCACAGCCTGGGTGTGAGAAAGTTTTTCTGCAAAGAGAGAGCGGCGAGGCCGAGATGCCAGAAAAGAAGTGGCCTGAAAAGCCACCACAGGCCGGGGGAAGAGGCGCAGTGTGCGGGTGTGCATCTGGAACCCCTGGAGAACATTTGGGGAGTTGAAGAACCGTACCATGGCGACCCTGTGAAAGAAACAAGTTCAGTCAGCTAAAAACGTATTTTCATTTGTCAAAATTATGTCTAAAAATAAATTGTGTTTATTGAAGTTTAGTGAATATTTTACCAGATTAGAGAGAAGTTCTTAGTATTGTTGTTGTTGTTGTTCAGATAATATAATTACAGCTGATAATTATTTCAGATTTCTAATCCAAAATATCTATACATAATTCAAATTGTGCAGTTTGTAAGATAAATACTATTGTTTTTCATATCAGTATGTGGGACAACACACTTGTTGTTTTCAGCTCTGCAATTCCCATCTTGGTGAATCTTTACATCTAATTGTTTATTATATATTGTCCCTTTTTAGAGTTCTTCCCACTTTGAATGGACAAAAGAAACATGTCAAATGAACAATAGGAAGAGACAGTCATGTCTTGCCTGGTTGCTACATCCACAGAATCAACGTCATTGCCGTAAATGAGGGGGTTGAACTCTGTGGAGGAAGGCGAGGCTTTGTCTCGTCCGGGGGGGAGCAGGGGCATCTCATGAACTTCCTGAAACTTCTCCAGGTTCAGAATGGGCTGGGTGTTTAAACTCATGCTGGCCAAGGCCTAGAAGAGGTAAAAGTGACACAAGTTATAAACATGGCAGTGGATTTGAATACATAAACAGAGCGCTGTTATGGACCACTCCCACTATTGGCATCAACATTTAGTTACTCATAATGATTTCCGCAATTAAAAGGAATACTTCACCCACAAAATGACCATTTGAATATCAATTACTCAACCTAAAGGAACCTTATCACATGCCTTGGCTATCTAATCTAAAAAACCTTAATATATCAACACATCCATTTTCACACAACTCGTGCGGTATAATCCAAGTCTCATTTATTGTCTTATACTCACTCTTTCCAAACACATGCACAGTTTTTTTTAAATAGCAACGTTTTAGCGAAAAATGTATGTGTTTGGGAAGAAGAGAGTAATGACAGAATAAAGGAAACTTGGAATATAGGGCACACATTGTATGAGAGTTTGAACCTGATGTTTTCATTTAATTTGCGTCGAAAAAGGCATGCGAGAAAAACTGTTTTCTTTAAGAATTCAAGGTAATTGGGTGAGTAATTGATGTGAAAATGATTATCTTGGGGGTAAATAATTCCAATCTGGGACATTTATAAATATGAACCATCTCTTTTGAGGGAAAACAATTAGACTGCAAGAATTGGATAAGAATTGGGACCGGAGGGAATAGATTTGTGCATGTTGATGCCTGTGGTGGGCGCGTCACTTTGTAGAGAAGGGGAACAAGGGAAGTCAGTTACTAAGCATGGTTTGTTTTGAGGGAACTGCTGCAGACTCAAGTGTCAATGTTTAGCTTAGCGTAATGGAACATTTAGTTGCTGGGTCTGGATGAATGTTAACTTTGTGATTAGCTTCATCATATCTTGTTTTGGTTACAAAAACACTCACTGATAGCCAAGATAGATGCACGCACATTCAGTCATGCTCAAGCCAGAGCTAAGCAGTGTGTCAAAAAACCGCTCCGCAGCATTCTGTGACTCTGTTGTTATGCATTTTAGTCAGGTCTTGAAAGAGTAAGAGATAAGTAGTAGTGACAAGCAAAATAATGTGAGAGAGAAGATATCCGTGCAGGGGCATTACACATTCCACAGGAGGAGAAATGAGTAACCTTATTTTCAGAGGAGAAGATCTGCTTTTGGGTGATCACGGTCAACCTAACCAGACACTGGGAAGGGGATAAAGAGATGCGAGGAGAATCACATGAAGGCCTGGGATGGAAACTTTGTGACCGACACTGGAACAGCACATGACGGGAGGGCCACAACATCATCGTGGCCCTTTCCTTTTCTTTGTCTCCTTTCAACAGTGCTTCTCTATTCGTCTGCTTTTTGCTGACAGTAATTGAGTTTATTGTTGTGCCCAAACAAAGGGTAATCAAATAGATGTAACTTGGTGAATGATAAGCTGATTGCATTTTTAACATCAATGTTTCAATTTGTAATACTATAATTGACTGAAGGAAGGAGTTAAGAAAAGATACATTTGTGTTTGATTTGAGAAAGTGATGGATAGCCAGAAAAGAGAGAGAGTGAGAGCGAAGGGAGAGACATTTTGAGAGGAGAGAAAGAGGAATAGGATGATGATGATTTTTTATGATCAACATGAAAGACAGTGAGAAACACAGACAAGCAAAAATGTGACCAAAAACCAGACTTCACCCTATAAAAACAGCCACTAAAAGACACATGGAGACCATCCATGGTGACCAACTGGGATACACCAGCGGTTACAATGGAGTGGTGATGACTGATACAAAAACAGCAGATCTTTTCAAAAACATAGAGAAAATACTTGCACAATAAAGAACCTGAAGCGAAATGAAAGCCTACGTAGTATTGTCTAACTGCTCAAAAATAAAATATTGGGTGAGCTGAATTTATACAACTGCCATTTTTGTGCAAGAAAATAAATAAGTCACTTAAAAAAGGACACGTTTAGTTTTCTAATCCCGTTCTAGGTGCAAGTATTTTCAATGACTCTCACATCAGCAGCCTTCTGCTTTGGCATCACAGTCTACAGATAATCATTAAAACCGTCTTCAGTGACATTTTCTCCATTCACAGATACCAATATTGTGTTTGTTTCCAAATATACAACTGCTAAACTGAGGCTTTGCACACTCCTACACACCAGCCTCTCAGTCACACACCCGCACACATGGGAAAGAGCTGCTCATCACACACACTGCTTATGAACCGGCTCTGATTCAAGGAAAATAAAAAAAATATGTCCATGCAAAGGTTTTAACCAAAAAATAAAACATATGACAAAAGGTCTGTGTTGGTTGTTATTTACTAAAAACGTAAAGTTGGATGTATGGTAAAGAAAAGAAAATAAGTTTTTGTTGAATGACTTCCTTTAAAAACATGTGAAATATGATTTGATTCATTAATTGTTATTATATGTGAGCCTTACAGTGAATCACTTGTTCTTGTTTAACATAACTGGTAAACTTGAAGGCATTATTTTAGAAGGGTTTTTGTGTGATTGCTCAAAGCGTGGAAGTACTAAACAGTGAGGTGTCGCATGAATCAGAACCAGGTTCTGGAGTTATATTGGAGAATCGGGTTAGAGGGACAAATTAGTTACTACCAGCGTAACTAAAGGATTTGCAAGGGTAGCAGGGTCCTAGTATTTGATTTTACCTCCAAGAGCTAGAGCATGCAAAGAAAACAGGAAAAAAAGATAAAAAAACATTTGTTTGTGTTAGTGCACTACAAAACCAATTTCCAAGGCTCTCACACTCATCTACAATACATACAACTGTGTTGAGGAAGGGAGCCCCTAATCTTCACACTGCTGAAAGAGAAGTTTCACATTTACATAAGAAGTGCAAATAGCTAACAGTCACAGGAGCAAACATGAAAGCTCCAGAGCAGCCCCTTGGTTCGTGACTGCTCCATGTGCCAGCAGAAGCTTTGGGCTGAGACCCAGATGCCACGGCACAGCAGATTCTAAATGTTTTATAGATACACATTTAGGAGGAATCACGCAAATCACACAGTACTTGTTTGAGATGTTTCTTGAGCTCGAGGGCCTCAGGCTCTGGAAGAGGTGGTAGGATCTCTGCATTGGTAGGTGCAATAACCTGTAGACAAGTAAAACAACAAAATTAATTAAAAAAACAACAATAACTTTAGAGTTGTATGCCTCTGACAAACAGTCGACAGTGAGGCTTACATCTAAAATGTCATCACTTTACCGTTTTATTTTATTCGAGATTTGTGTAGTGTAACAATTAGCATATATATTTTAAAGGCCAAGTACATGTTTCGTGAATCGTCAAATCAATTCTTCCTCGATTCCCCTTTTAAGCCAAATTTGAAGAAATTCCTTCAAGGCGTTCGAGAGGGACCGCATTCATAAGAATGGAATGTATGGGAGGAAATCCCGGAGGCATAACGGTTGTTAACTAATAGATCTCTCTGTCATCTAAATCTGGACATCAATAAAACAGACTAAACAAGATCAGAAGGACGAGCAGGACGTTGAGTTAATGTTCTGACCTTGCTGCTGTCAAGGTCCACAAGCCAAAGGTCGTCTGGCATTTTGAAATCAGCTTTGTAGAGGAAGAAGCTGGCGGGTACTCCTATAATGTAGGGGGTGGGGGCAAGAAGGAGCTGTGGGGAGGAGAACACATACCGGTCAGTCAAAACATGAGGTTAACACAATGGATCACATTTCAATTGAAAACTTTGAGGAATCACCCATTTATGAATGTATCTATGAGGAATGATGAGTGTTACCTGCTCAGCAGAGGCCATGCATGTTGGCAGTAAGGGGATGACGGGGAACATGTACTCCAGAGGGTAGATCATGGCAACGAAGGCCATGACGCTCATTGACAAAGCATTGTAATCTCTAGATTGAAGAATGACCTGAGGGTAAACAAGAGACAGGAAACACTTGATGGGTAGATGTTCATACTGTTATACCAGCTAGTTAAATTCTTCTGCTGGTCTATCACAGAAATATTTGTCCAATCTTTCCATATTTCATTTTTTGTCCATAATATAAAGCTGTGGTATCCTGAATTTGCCTTGGAGTCAGTACAGCAATATTAAAAACTGAGCTTTTATAAAAAAAAAATGTATTTGGCAGCACAAAGTGCTTAAAAGGAAGTCACTCTGAAAGCTTCCAGGCAGCACTTAGTTCAGCCTGACTGGATTTAATGATGTATTGAATTCATCTTCACATGGAAAATAAATGGATGAATACAAGATGGCAGCCCTTTATACAGGTATGGGGTAAATAAAAACTAAATTTTGGATGGGAAACATCTATTAAGGTAGGTGCCCCAGATAAATGCTAGTTTTAGAGTATTTGTCCAGCATTTATCAAGCAGTATGTTTTTTCAGCGGTGTGACTGAAGCTGTGAAGCTTAGGTTTTCTTTGGGTAATTGCAAATGAGCCTGTGCATCAATGTCACGGTAAGACAATAGCAACAACAGAACACTACACCATCGCCAGCCAAACAAGGATTTCAATTACATCCCCAGTGTTTCCCCTACCATTGTCTTGGAGGGGTGCTGCGCCCCGCCAACGGAGCCCCGCGACCCCCCTGAAATTCAAGGTGTTAAAAAAAATCATAATTATATATTTCTTTTTTTTATTCATTTTTTTTTTTTTATATATATAGCACCAAATTGCAAATAATCTATAACTACTGTCACTTTTCACATTGAACATGTGCTCTTTTATTAAATAAACTAAACGCTTCTAATTTAAATGTAGTTAGTTGTTTCGACCTAAAGAACTCTGAGTGGAAGTAATACAATAAACAAATAACTCCACGAGCCTCCTCTCTCTGCTACAGGAGGTAAAATTTAAAAATATACACTACCCAAGTCCCCCCCGGCCCCCCTCCCCCCGAGTCAGGGCACCGACCCAAACCACCCCCAAAGGAACACGTAAACGACCTCGTACTACTAACTTGCGTTCTTAAACGAGGTTTAAACGAAGTAGGGAACGAGGACGAAGTAGGAAGTGGTAGGTTAAGTCTTTTTTACGACTTTAAGTTACCCAAGTTACGTAACCGGTGTTCCCGGGGCCTTACGGGTCCTTTTTTCCGTTCTTTTTAACCGGTTTACGTAAAATTTAACCGTTAGGTTAAAATTCGGTTACTTAGTACCGGTTAAACTTTAACGGTAAAGGGTTTAACCTTTGGACCGTTACCGTAGGGGAACCCCTTACGGGTACCCCGAAAACCGGGGACCGAACCGGGTAAACCGTAAGGGGGGGGGA